TGCCCCCCAACCCTCCCCGGCCTTCCTGCTGCAGTTTGACAATCTGTTTGAGGCAGCTCTGCCTCTGTATCTATTATTGTTCAAAAGTTTATAATGGTCTCTATTATCCATGAATGAGTGAGATCATGTGGTATTTTTCCTTCATTGACTGGTTTATTTCACTTAGCATAATGCTCTCCAGTTCCATCCATGCTGCTGCAAATGGTAAGAGTTCCTTCCTTTTTAGAGCAGCATAGTATTCCATCGTGTAGATGTACCACAGTTTTCTAATCCATTCATCTACTGATGGGCACTTAGGCTGTTTCCAGATCTTAGCTATGGTGAATTGTGCTGCTATGAACATAGGGGCGCATATATCCTTTCTGATTGGTGTTTCTGGTTTCTTGGGATATATTCCTAGAAGAGGGATCACAGGATGACCTCTCTCTTTTAAGGACCTTGTAATTATATTGGGCCCACCCCAGGATAATCTATCTCAAGACCCTTAATTTAATCACATCTGCAAAATTTCTTTTGCCACGTAAGGTAATATATTCATAGGTTCTGGGGATTAGGACGTGTACATCTTTGGGGAGGTGATTTATTCTGTCTACCACAGGTCCTTATTCCTATTTTTCATATAAATTCTAAGTTTTCAAAAGAAATTAAAAAATGAGGTATTCTTTAACTTGTTTTTGTTTTAATCTGTGGCAGTACATGATACATTGTAATATTTTCATGATATATTAACCTGTACTAATTTAAATATTTAAGAATATATACCTTTTTCATTGGCATTGTGTTATACTGAGTTGGGTTATCAAGAGGTTTGATGCCCAAAGAGATAGGAAAGTGAGTTTGAAAATTTAGATTTCGTCTTCAGGACAGTTAACTAAGTTAGAATTTTGGAATGAATGGCTGTATTATCTTTGTAATTGTAAATTATATATGGCAACAGGTACTAGTTAACTGCTGGACTCCTCTTGTACTTCACTTTATATAAGACCATAAATGTTGGTGAGCCTATCCACCTATGGTAGTTTCTACTATTTCTAGGACTCTTTGAATTATAAGTTATGTTAATTCTTTGTGGTTTACACAGATTAAAAAGAGTATACATTTATAATTTATGAACAGAAATATATTTAACAAAACCCCCCAAAATATCTATGTTTATACTAGAGGCCTAGTACACGAAATTCATGCACCCCGTGAGGGGGTCCCTCAGCCCGGCCTGCACCCTCTCGCAGTCTGAGAGCCCTTGGGGGATGTCTGACTGATGGCTTAGGCCCACTCCTCGCTCAGTCCTGATTGGCCGGACCCCAACAGTAAGCTAACCTATCGGTTGGAGCGTCTTCCCCCTGGTGTTCAGTGCACGTCATAGTGAGTGGTTGAGCAGCCTTAGCATATCATTAACATATTATGCTTTGATTGGTTGAATGGACAACCAGACGACTGGATACTTAGCATATTAGGTGTTTATTATATAAGATAGTTATATATAAACACTTTCCTACATTAAAAAAATAAATTTAAATGTGCATGGTAATAGTCTTCCTTTTTTGATATTGGAATTATATTTTTGTAAATTTATTGTTACTCTTTCCTTATGAGCAACATGGCCTTTTACAGCCATACCTTGTTTCATTTAATGATCGCAACTTGATAATGGGATTCCGTTTAAGTTGATTCTTTTTACTTTTTAGAAATGCCCCTGCCATTTTAAAAATTTCTTTTGCTTCTGGCAGCATCAGTATACAGACTATACTGATTTTATCTTGCCCAAGGACTTGGAATTGAATATCTTCTAATGGTTTCTCGGTTGTTGGTTTTTCTTATAAAACAGTAGTAAGATCAAAATCTGGGCACTAGAGATGCTTACAAGTGTTGGGGTAAAAGATTATAGGTATTGTGGCTTCAATGGGATTTTTGTTGGTAGTGACTGAGATGAAAGGACAATACAGTACTTCTTTTACAAGTGTATAAGATCTCATTTTTTTTTCAGTAAAACACATGTTGTTATTTTTACTTTTCTTATAACATGTAATTTCAGTAACTGCTAAGAATTTCTTCCTATACATTGACCCATTGTTCCATTCAGCATTAGAATAGCTCCTTTCCTCCCTCCCCCTGTCTCTATCTATATTTCTAAGACAATGGTTCTCAGCTTTGTCTTTACGTTGGAATAACTTGGGGAGCTTTAAAAATATTGATGTGAATCCTTCACCATAACTTCTGATTTAACCCTCCAAAAGGCAGAATATGGCATCAGGATTTTTTTACACCTCTATTGATGATACCAATATACACCCAATATGAGGATCTCTGTTCTAGGAGGTTTTGGGCTATCTCATGTATATAGAGCATTGATTTCTCCAGTTGGTCCCCTAGCATCTCCTTTTTTCAGCTATCTACCTCCATCCACATTACTTTCCTATAATAAAGTTAAAAACCTGCATTCTATAGTATGAAGCATCAGTACCTGAACTGAGAAGGGAATATTTATTAAGAACTTGAAGAAAGAAGTAAAAATTTAAAATTCTTTTAACATATTATCCTATGTCTTAGGACAGTGGTTCTCTAACTTTGGAAGGTTATCTGAGTTACTTGGGAAACTTGGTAAGAGTAAAAAGACACAAACTCTACCCTATTTCAGGAGCTTAGTAGTTTGCAAACCATTGCCTTAGGGCGTCCAATAGGTCAGAGTGCTGATTATTCTAAGGAGGGGGCCTTATGGGAGTAGATTATTCATTTTTTAGGATTTGAGATGCCCTTTTTCCTTCAATTGAATTGGAAAACACTCCCTGCCAATGACACTATGTACAAAATCCTGTCTTTCTGGGCTGCCATCACTTGATTTTTGGTGTGTGTGTGTGTGGGGGGGTTGCTTAGATAATTCAGAGCACTGGTTCCCAAAACCTGACACTTCCACTGATGCCCTGTCATGGGAAGTTTTCATCAGAAGTGGTCAAATAAAAATAAAGACAAACTATTGAATTTTATAAAGCTAATTCAATTTCAAGGATCATTCGTTGAAATTAGGTCATTCAGACCTTTTTTTGGTTTCAAAATGTTCTTTTATTGAGTGAAGATACTAACATATATGTATTTATTTGCTTTTTCTTTATGACCATGCATTTTATATGGGTTATCTCAGGTAATACTAACAATAACCCAATGGGAGATATTATTATTATGGTTTTACAGATGAAGAAACTAAACCATAGTTAAATTTAAAAAAATGTCCAAAGCCAAACAGCTACTGTTACAGTTAGATTTAGAATCCAAGACTAACTGAATACCTTATAATAATGACTCTATGTTTGATATAAATGCTATCATGAGGATTTCTAAAAAGTTTTGTCATTAAGAAATTAAGAATCGTTTCTTAAAACTGAAATGATTAGAAGCCTCTGTTTTGAGGAATTCTCTTAAATAAAAAAACAATATTTTAACTCAATTCATCTGCAAATTTGAGGTCATGTGTTGTAATGGTAAGAACATGAACTTTTGAGTTGAACTGACTTTGATTTGAATCTGAACTTCCCCACCTTCATTGGTTGTGTGATTCAGGGCAAGTTAGTTCAGCTCTCTATGTCTCAGGTCCTTCAGCTATAAAATGATAATATCCATCTTTCAATGAATTGTTTGAATTTGTGGCCATGAGTTTATTTGTGTTGCTTTCTTGGTAGGGGTGTGTGTGTGTGTGTGTGTTGTATGATGTTGCAGAGATGCTGATAACTAACCAGAGTGCAGGGACAAGGGCTAAATGCTGGCTGTGTCAATTCAAGTTTACTGGATGTAATTAGGCATGCAAGAGATGTATTGGGGAAACACTTGTAAAAGATTAAGGGGAGAGGAAGCAGGATTAGCCAGGGAGAGCCTTTAGGGGGTGATGCAGGTCTGACCCCAGTGAAGGGAGAGAAGGAAGGAAAGAGTAGGATAGAAAGAACATCAGAGTGAAGCTCTGAGGAATTCTCAGCCAGGCTGATGAGGAGCCTCACTTTTCTGACTGCCTATCAGAAAAGTGTCCTGTCAGGCAGAATGGCCCACCTCTCATACCCCCACCATGCTCAGTCATTGGTGGGAACAGCCTGGGGAAAGTGGGGCCTTGGCAGGAATGCTGCAGTGCATTCTGAAGGTATAGCATCTAGGGCTGTTAGCTAATGCCACTCCTCCCAGAAGGCTCTCTCTTGTAAGGCAATCTGTGTGTGCACCTCCATGGCTACCACACTGGTACTTTTAATTTGATAGTGAAAATGTATAATTATCTGTGGGATGGTGCAAAAGAAAATTAGCTTCATTCCAGGTCATTAATATTTCTTTGTATATCTTCTTTTGGGTATTTTCTCTGTTAACTTTACCAACTGCTACTTATAATTACTAGAGGCCTGGCACATGAAATTCGTGCACAGGTAGGGGCCCTAGGCCTGGCCTGTGATCAGAGCCAACCTTCCCCAGCTACCGGCAGCTGGCCCCACCCCCCACTGCCAAAGCCAGTTGCCCTCTATGTGACAACCGGCAGGGTGATCAGAGCCCCACTAGCTCCCACCCACCTTGGCCTGGCGCTGCCAGCGTCCACTGCCACCCCCAGTTCCCCGTTCCCCATTGGGCAATCGGGGCCTGCAGGCTGGGGGCAGCTCCTGCATTGAGCATCTGCTCCCTGGTGGTCAGTGTGCATCCTAGCGACTGGTCATTCCACTGTCCAATCGACTTACATATTATGCTTTTATATATAAAGATAATTCATCACTATGACTGCAAGTCCAACAATTGATTTCTTATCTCTAAAAAATAGTAAAATTAGTGGTCACTATTTATGACATCAGTGGAACAACATTTGACTTCTGTAATGACTACGCATTTAATATTATCGTTTAAATCTGTTGTGATGATGGGTAGTTGTAACTTAGTAAAACTTCTAATTTATTAGCATTTCTTATTACTGTTTAAGATTCTGTATTAAAGAAAGAATTAGTAAGCATAATTAACTTAGATAATCTTTTCTTGGTTTGCTGCAGTGTCTTATCTAGCATGACAGATGCAGTGTTGGCTCGAGTGTATAAACAATCAGATCTGGACATCCTGGCTAAAGAAGCATCCATTCCCATCGTCAATGGGCTGTCAGATTTGTACCATCCTATCCAGATCCTGGCTGACTACCTCACGCTCCAGGTTGGCTTATTTCCTTGCCTTTTACAAGAGAGACTAGCTCTAAGTAGAACCATTTTTATCATAGTATTGGTGTTTTGTTTTCAAATATAATTTTGGTAATGAATTATAGCATGTCTGTATACTAGCTATTCAAGGAATAAGGCATTGTTAAAAACAATGTGCGTGTGTGTGTGTGTGTGTGTGTGTGTGTGTGTGTGTGTGTGTGAAACTTATTCCACATGGAAGGGGTGTGGAAAAGCATTTCTCTTATCCCCTGTTCTTTCAATCCTTTTGCTTTTTGGTCCCATATCTAACACAATGGATGAATCGTGAATGCTGGAACATACATAACAGAAAAGCTTAATGTAATCCTCCATACTTCAGACTGAGTTGCTTGGGAGTGAAAACTGATGGAGTGTGCTTTCAATATTCAAAATGGCCAATTATGAAATCACTTTCTGAGAAGAAGGCTACTTCCATCATTTTAATAAATGGATGAGACTGGAGTTAAGGACATGCAGAATACATAGAATTGAGGCTCAAATTTAGCCATGTACCCCCAATTTAGGAACTTGAATAACTTTAAAAGATTTATCTCGTTTGTTTTGCCACAGCCATTCTACATAGTTTTGGGAATGCTGAAAACCATGGTTTCTGTGTCTATGGACTATTCTGGGGAAAGAGGGAAAACTGGATAGGTCCATATTCCTCCTCATTTGAATATAAATGTGAAGTTAAACTAATAATGAAACTCATTGGTGATGTGGATAAGATTCATGCAGAAAGGATGATATAATGATGTTAGATACCAAGTGGCTATTTGTGAATGTGGCTTTACATATATGCCAGAAAATTGAATGCTTTGCCCTGGGGCTTTATCATTACTAGATTATAAATTCATCGAGGGACAGTGAAATGTCCTATTCATCATATTGTCCCCTGCATGACCTGGTGCAATACCTTCATGTAGGAGATCCTCAAAGTGAGAGCTGAATGAGTAAATAGCAGCTTATTAAGAGCATGGAATCTAAATCAGCTGACTGTTTAACTCTTACCGATCTCATTTCCTCCCACCCCACAAGGAAATTATTATCCTGATGTCTGTATTTATTATTTCAAGGCATGTGTTTATACTTTAGCTACACATGTCCATATGTGTAAATAGTTAAGATTAATAATGAGCATGTTTTCCAACTTTACAAACATGTAAACATACTCAACTATCATGTTACACTCTTCTAGATACATTGTATTTCCCCTTTCTTATACCAGCTAATGTAAGCTCCATAAGGCAGTGATTTTTTTTCTCCTTTATTCATTGTTATATTTATAGGGCCAAGGAAAGTAGACATGGATGATGCTTAATTTGTTGAATGAATGAATAAATGAATGCAACAAAGATTCAGATTTGAAAAGTTTGAAAATATGAGTATTTATATGAGTTCATATGATGTCTTGATTTAAGATATTAGGACATCTTACTATTTTTGGTGATTATACATTGATATTATTCCAACAAAGCATTAAAATTGGGGTGAAGATTTTTTTTATTTTAACCATAATAATTGTTTCATATAAGTTAATTTCTTCCCAGGTATAATCTCCTCCATTTCTTGCCTTTTAGGAACACTATGGCTCTCTGAAAGGCCTTACCCTTAGCTGGATTGGGGACGGGAACAACATCCTGCACTCCATAATGATGAGCGCAGCCAAATTCGGAATGCACATCCAGGCAGCTACTCCAAAGGTAGGGAAACTTTCTGCCTGGAAACTACCCCCCACCTTAAGTCATCCCCAGATGTAATTACCCAAGAAAAACAAACCTCTATTCCATTCAAGAGCACAGGTGAGGCCATAAAATTTAGGTCATGTTACTAGCCCGTCTGTTATAGCTATTTGGTTTCTTGGGTGCCCAATTTGCCAACTCTATAATAAGAGATAGCCTTGGCTAATGCCTTTCATACTTTGAGTCTATAAAAGCATGTCTGAATTATCTCCTCGAATGCCCTGAAACCAGCCATACTGATGACTGGTATCCTTGTGTATTGCTACCACAAAGGATGAAGAAAGCAATACAATTCAGACAGTGTAGAATTCACAAGGCATGGCTAGAATGCTATCATTTTTCTAATACTGTAGTTCCCCCTTATCTGTGGGAGATATGTTCCAAGATTCCCAGTGGATGCTTGGCACCACAGAAAGAACTGAATTCTTTAAACAGTTTTTTCCCCTATACATACATACATACATACATACATATCTATGATAAAGTTTAATTTATAAATTAGTCCCAGTCAGAGATTAAAAACAATAACTAATGATAGAATAGAACAATTATCACAGTATAATGTAATAAAAGTTATGTGAATGTGGTATCTTTCTCTCTCTCACTCAAAATATCTTATTGTACTGTCCTCCCCTTCTTTTTGTGATGATATGAGATGGTAAAATGCCTAAATGATGAGATGAAGTGATTTATTAAGGAAGTGCTCCTTAAAAAATCTGTAGGGGGACAGGGGGAGCAGAACAGAGAAAGGGAAGAATCTAAGCAAGAATGTTATTTACTGTGATCAACCATCCTGGTTTGCCCAGGAGTAGGGATTTCTGGGGACATGGAACTATCAGTGCTAAAAACTGGGAGAGTACCAGGCAAATGAGGATAATTTGCAAACCCTAGTGCCACGGCAGGCACTGCCTCACAGAAGGGAACTTCAGCTTGATCCCACAGGTGCTCTTGCTGGACCAGTTTGAGTCAACACACCCTGCTGCCTTAATCTGCAGTTGTTAACAAATTACCACAACTTGGGTGGCTTAAAAGAACAGAAATTTATTGTTTCCTTATTCATTCTAGAGACTAGAAGTCCAAAATCAAGGTGTTTGGTAGGGCCACACTCCCTTTGAAGCCTCTAGGAAAGGATCCTTCCTTTTCTCTTCCCACTTCTGGTGGCCCTAGGTCAGGGGTGGGCAAACTTTTTGACTGGAGGGCCACAATGGGTTCTTAAACTGGACCGGAGGGCTGGAACAAAAGCATGGATGGAGTGTTTGTGCGAACTAATATAAATTCAAAGTAAACATCATTACATAAAAGGGTACGGTCTTTTTTTTTTTTTTTTAGTTTTATTCATTTCAAATGGGCCGGATCCGGCCCGCGGGCCTAGTTTGCCCACAGCTGCCCTAGGTATTCCTTGCTTTTTTTTGTTTGTTTTGTTTTGGTTTACAAATGTCCCTCTTTATGAAGATAGAAGTCATATTAAATTTAAGCCCACCCTGATTCAGTATGACCTCATCTTAACTAGTAACACCTGAAAAGACCCTACTTCTGAATAAGGTCATATTCTCAGAATCTGGGTGGGAATGAATTTTTTGGAGGACACTATTCCACCTACTTGCCATAGAAGAAAAGCAGGCCTAGGCAATAGCATATATTGTAAGCCACCCTATTACAGTAAACTTTTGGGACTCAGAGAGATAACTCTCACAACAGATAATTCTTTTTTGTTCAGCATCACTCTCTCTACAAATCTAGTTTGTATTAATAACTATTACAGCATTTAGTTTTTACAGATAAAACATACAATAACAATAATTGTTTCTTGTTATAAGGTGTTTTTGGAAAGGATTTATTCTGTTGGAGAAATAGGATTGAAACATTCTATTGCATGTCCAAGATGTTTTCTTCTCATTAAAGGAAAAATTCCAATATTACAGAGCAATTTCAGTATTGTTCGTATGCAGAAACTCATTTAAATGATAAAGAGTACTAAAACTTGACTAATTCTTGGTGGGAATGAGTTTTAAAATGTCTTCTGCAAAGTCTGATAGTGTAGAAGTTGTTCCAGCAATTTATATGTAGACCTATTTCCTTTAAAGCTAGAGCTAGGATATTTATTGTAAATTTAAGAAGCATTAAAAAGTTTCTAAGCCATAATTAATCTATTTCCCATTCTTCAATAAAGAATAACTTACATGTTCAAGAAAACAATTTTGTCCTTGATTGTAAAATTTCTCCATAAACTATTGATGGTAATGATTTTAACATTGTTCTAAGTGAATATTTAGACCACACTGAGTTTGTTAATCACCTTCTTCGTCTGGTTTTAAGATTGTGTAAAAGCCAATGAGTTATTTACTCTTGAAAGCTGAGTTATGAATAAAAATTCCACTTTGTATTCTCAGTCATGGTCCAGTGCATGCAAGGTTGGGTGATTTTCTAATTTCCAAACCTCTCTGTTGGTTCTCTAAGTATTTATTGATTCCTTCTCTAAGAATGATTATACTTAAGGAGTATAGAAACCTGCTCTTCAAAGGGAAGGATACATTTTTAGGACAGGAGGCACATGAAGTAATAGCCAAGTCTCTATCTATGTTTACCAGTATGATTGATCACAACATTAGTTACTAATTAGCAAATCTTTATAATTTGCTAAAAATCCTTCCCCAAATTCCAATAAACAAAGCTCAAAAATTTATGGCTATTTGAAGGGTAGTAAAGCTGCTAAAATTTTGTATCCATCACCATCATTATCTGAATAGTTTCTTTTTTTTTCATAGACTCTACAATTTTATTTATTTTTTATTTATTTATTTATTTTATTTTATTTTTAAATTAAATCTTTATTGTTCAGATTACTACAGTTGTTCCTCTTTCCCTCCCCATAGCGCCCCACCACTCAGTTCCCACCTCACCCTCTTCCCTTACCCCCCCCACTGTCCTCATCCATAGGTGTAAGATTTTTGTTCAGTCTCTTCCTGCACCCCCCACACCCCTGTCCCCCCGAGAATTGTCAGTCCACTCCCTTTCTATGCTCTTGATTCTATTATATTCCCCAGTTTACTCTGTTCATCAGATTATTTATTCACTTGCTTTTTAGATTCACTTGTTGATAGATATGTATTTGTTCATAATTTTTATCTTTACCTTTTTCTTCTTCTTCCTCTTCGTAAAGAATACCCTTCAACATTTCATATAATACTGGTTTGGTGGTGAGAACGCCTTTAACTTTTTCTTATCTGTGAAGCTCTTTATCTGACCTTCAATTCTGAATGATAGCTTTGCTGGATAAAGTAATCTTGGTTGTAGGTTCTTGGTATTCATCACTTTGAATATTTCTTGCCACTCCTTTCTGGCCTGCATAGTTTCTGTTGAGAAATCAGCTGACAGTCGTATGGGTACTCCCTTGTAGGTAACTAACTGTTTTTGTCTTGCTGCTTTTAAGATTCTCTCTTTGTCTTTTGCTCTTGGCATTTTAATTATGATGTGTCTTGGTGTGGTCCTCTTTGGATTCCTTGTTTGGAGATCTCTGCACTTCCTGGACTTGTAAGTCTATTTCTTTCACCAGGTAGGGGGAGTTTTCTGTCATTATTTCTTCAAATAGGTTTTCAATAACTTGCTCTCTCTCTTCTTCTGGCACCCCCATAATTTGATGTTGGTTCGCTTGAAGTTGTCCCAGAGGCTCCTTACACTATCTTCATATTTTTGGATTCTTTTTTCTTTTCCAGTTGGGTGTCTTTTGCTTCTTTGTATTTCAAATCTTTGACTTGATTCTTGGGATCCTCTAGTCTGCTGTTGGATCTCTGTATAATAGTCTTTGTTTTAGTCAGTGTATGCTTAATTTCTAGTTGGTACTTTTTCGTATCCTTGAGTGTCTCACTAGATTTCTTGAGGGTCTCACTAAATTTATTGGCAGTCTCACTAGATTTCTTGAGGCTCTCACTAAATTTATCTGCGGTTTCTAGAAAATTCTTGAAAAACCTTATAACCGTGGTTTTGAACTCTATATCCAGTAGTTTGCTTTCCTCCATTTCTGTCATTTGTGACATGTTTCTTTGTTTCTGCATTTTTTATGCTTCCCTGTGTTGATAGAGCGGCTTTGTGTGCTAGGTGTCCTATAGGGCCCAGTGGCTCAGCCTCCCCAATTACCTGAGGTGGACACTCTTGGTGCACCCCCTTGTGGGCTTTGTGCACAGTCTTATTGTAGTTAAACCTTGATTGTTGTCAGTATCACTGGGAGGAATTGACCTCCAGGCCAATGGGCTGTGAGAATCAGCTGTGTCTATGGTGGGAGAACTTCTGTTCTGGAGACACCCTTATGGGGCAAGACTTGCTTCAGTGGGGCTTTGGTGCTCACTGAGTCTTCCCCCTGAGTGTGTCCCTTATGGATCTGAGGAGTTGTAATCTGGATTGTCCCACTCTGACCACTGGGTACACTGGCTCTTGGATCTCTAAGGAGGTGCTAATTTAGCCTCTGCCTGAGGCTACCCAGCAGGAGCTATGGAGAGATCTGTAGATTCCTTTTCTTTGTTTGGGGTTTGGAGGTGCCCAGATGAGGCCCAGCTGTGAAGCAATGCAAACTGCTGTGGGGCCTTGGGCCTTCTTTAGGATGTTCTGGGTCTCTCTGACCCAGCTGCAGTTTGTTAGGTAATTTTAGATTGGAAAGGGACAGGCCATTCATATGCAAAAGCCTCTGTGCACAGCTTGGGTGGGGCGGGGTCTCAGGGAATCAGCAGGGTGGAGAAAACTGATATGGGTGATCCTTAGCCCTGCCCTAAGAGGCCCTGGGTCTCAGTGTCCCGTGGTAATCGCTGCAAGCACCTTTGAGAGAAAGCTGCCCTCAAGTTCCAACAGATGCCAGACAGTCCACTTTCTCCCCGTATGAGTCTGGGTCCCCAGAGACTCACCCAGAACTGGAGTCAGGGCCATTAGGAGCTTGAGACTCCCTCCCAATTGAAAAAGACAACTGCGTCCTCAGTTTCCAGCCCTTTCCGCGTGTGCCTCTGTACCTCTGCACTTTACTTCCGTACCTCCTCTGAGTCTCAGTGTGCTTTTCTCTTTCCTTCTAGTTGTAGAATTTCCACTCAGCCAGCCTTCCTGTGGTTCTGGATGATGTGCGTTTTGTCTTTTAGTTGTATTTTTGAAGTGGTTGTGCAAGGCAGCAATTCAGGTGTTTACCTATGCCGCCATCTTGGTTTCTCTTTGAATAGTTTCTTTCTTCAAGAATTTTTATAATGAAAGAAAGAATTATGGTAGACAATCACATGCAAAACAAAACAATTTAAAATGAATAAACTTGAACATACCTGTCATGGTTTGAGGTTCCTGGGAAGCAGACTTTGAGACACAGTTTATTGTGCAGGATATTTATTAGGGCATGCCCTTGAGATCAATACCTGTGGGAGGGAGGAAAAGGAAGCAGGAGTGAGCACAGGGAGAAACCAAGCTCTGATGCAGGGCCAACAATTGCCTCCACTGACCTTATGGAGAGTCCTAGATCTGAGATGGCCATTTAGAGCTGTCCTGAGTTGGGAGGAGGGAGTGAGGTTTTCATACCCTCCTGTCAACCAGTCATGGAATGTCACTCGCCTTGGAAAGGTATGTGACCTTGGGTGCATCTCTGCAACTGAGGCAGTGCCCAAAGAGGGCTGACAGCTGAAAGTCATGTTTCAATAGCATGCCTAGCAGCCGGGGAGTAAGTCCTTTATTCACAATGGGGAATCTGGATGCCACCTCACAGTTTCCACCACAATGTCATACTGAGAATTTATAAAAACCAAGTCATAATCAATGCTAAGAATTCAGGAAAACAATAAGCATTAAGGAAGGTGAGAATAATTATGATTTTTGGACTGACAAGACTTCCACATGGAGGCTGTAGAGATGAAGGTGGACGAGAATTTGGACAAAGGAGGAGCTGATATGTTCCTTTGAAGATGCCCAGGAGGAGACAAAGGGTAAAAGTCTGTGATGGCAGAAAAGGGCAAGATATGTGCAGGGTTGGCAATAAGACTGGATTTCCTGCAGTAAGATATTGAGAAGACTTAAAACAGACAGAAGCAGGGGATGCTAGTGGGGAGCCTTGATACTCTTAATCAGCTTTGACTTAAGAAACAAAGTAAACATTGGAGGCTTCAGAGAAAAAAAAATCTTGCTTTAATGTACAGAGCAGATTGGAAGGAGAGAATTAGAGGTAGAGGGGCTACCTATGGGTTCTGGAAAAGCATGAGGGTCTTTAGCTGCTCTAATAATGCCTTCTAATCTAGAGTTGAGACTAGGGTGTGCAATCTAGGCACCTTATAATGCAAAATTTGTTCTTTCACGACTCTGACTGTGAGCACTTCCTTATATTTTATGTTCTAGGCACCTTGCTTGCCTCCCTCAAGTCCTGACCCTACTATGAGCAAACCATCCCAAACAAATATATTTTAGTGAAAACAGTTTGCTTGCTGTGTAAGTGCCATTGCAGAGCAAGTGCCTGACACTCACAACACTTGTTGGTCAGTGCAAAAGAATAAGGTGTGCATGTAAGGTGTTAGTATTTATCTGGGGTGATCAGGGAAGGTTTTTATGAGGAAGCTAGAGGCCTGGTGCATGGAATTCATGCATGGAGGCGGGGTGTCCCTCAGCCCAGCCTGCACCCTCTCCAATCTGGGACCCCTTGGGGGGATGTCTGACTGCCGGTTTAACCGGTAGTTGGACATTCCTCTCACAATCCGGGACTGTTGGCTCCTATCCGCTCGCCTGCCTGCCAGCCTATTTGCCCCAAACCGCTCCCATGCTGGCCGGATTGATGCCTAACTTCTCTCCTGCCAGCCCGATCGCCCCCAACTGCCCTCCCCTGCTGGCCCGATTGCCCACAACTGCCCTCCTCTGCCAGCCTGATCACCCCCAACTGCTCTCCCCTGCCGTGACCTGCCTCCTACGCCAGGACCTGCCTCCTCCGCATGAGGCAGTGGAGACCCCAGGAACCCGCCTCCTCCATGCCGCATGGAACCACGGGACTCCCAGGCCTTACTGCATGGAGTGGCCGCTGGGCCCTGCCTCCACAGTGCACATGGCCATCTTGTGGCAGCCATCTTGTGATGGCCATCTTGTGACAACGTCACGTGCAAGGGCGCAAGGACCACCTAGGCTATTATTAGTATAGATATTTGAGGAAATATGTGAAACTGTTATTCCACATGGAGGGGGTGTGGGAAAGCATTTCAGACAAAAGAGCATTTTAAAAAACCCCAAACAACTCATGCCCTAGCCAGTTTGGCTCAGTGGATAGAGCATTGGCCTGCGGACTGAAAGTCCCAGGTTTGAGTCCAGTCAGGGCACATGCTTGGGCTGCGGGCTTGGTCATCATTGATGTTTCTCTTTCTCCCTCTCCCTTTCTCTCTGAAATCAATAAAAATATATTTTAAAAAAAACCAACTCATGGAAATACTCTGAGACAAAAAATGCATAAGGTTGTGGAATTATGTATATGATCTTCTTAAGCTACTAGAGGAACAAGAAGGAGTGCTAGCAAGAGCTAAAAAGAACCCCAACCCCACTCAGTCTTTATGACTAAAGAGGTCAAGACAATAAAAGAAAATTGGGAGAACTGGTTATCTTTTTAAATTTTCAAAAGCACTATTACGATTTGATCAAGATGTAAATATTACATACTACTAAACATGATTGTGCTACAACTGAAAGCAAAAAGAAGTGAAGGAGATTGGGAATGTTGTTGAAAGGAATATAATGCATATGGAAGAAAGTATATATAATAGAATTACCTAAATAACAGTTAAATTCTTCCCCCTGCAGGGTTATGAACCAGATCCCAGTATAATCAAGTTGGCAGAGCAGTATGCCAAGGAGGTATGTTCCTTATAAATAAAGTTATTATTGCTTTTCTTTGTCCCATGAAGTTGTTTAATTGGCATGCTTGTGTATTCTAGAACAGTACCAAGCTGTCGCTGACGAATGATCCATTGGAAGCGGCTCGTGGAGGAAATGTATTAATTACAGATACTTGGATAAGTATGGGACAAGAAGAGGAGAAGAAAAAGCGGCTCCAGGCTTTCAAAGGTTACCAGGTTACAATGAAGGTACAAGTTGATGCCCCTCTGAAGGTTCATTAATTCCATTCATAAAGGCCAGAACCATCTAATCACTCATTCACATTGGGGAGAGCAGACTGTCTTTTCATTCCCTATGAAGGATTCACTGACTGTATCCCCTAGAGCAGTGGTTCTCAACCTTCTATCCCTTTAAATACAGTTCCTCATGTTGTGATCCAACCATAAAATTATTTTCGTTGCTACTTCATCACTGTAATGTTGCTACTGTTATGAACCGTCATGTAAATATCTGATATGCAGGATGGTCTTAGGCGACCCCTGTGAAAGGGTCGTTCGACTGCCAAAGGGGTCGCGACCCACAGGTTGAGAACCGCTGCCCTAGAGATTTCTCTTCTCCCAAAGATTAGCTATGTTCTTTAGAAAGACACTTTTATCCTGATTGAAGGAATTTGAAAGTCAGGCAGAAGAAAGAAGCTAAATTTTCCCTCTCACAGCAATGGAGGCATCAGAATGCTTTACACTTTATGGGTTTAGAGACATAAGGTTACTTCTGTTGCATACAGTTTCTTCTGATTTCTTCTCTAAGAAGAGCCCCATAATTTTGTTCTTCAGGCTAGTCCTTAACTCTGTTTTCTAAGGACTCAAGTCCAGTTGAGTTTTGCTAACTGCCTGCAGGGCATTCTCAGGGGAATCCCTTCAGATATTCATGAAAGGCATCACATGAGAAGGTGTCAATACACAGCTGGCAGGACCCTACTCCAATAGGGTTGCTGAATCAGTAGGTCAGGGGTGGGACCCAATAAATTGCATTTCTACCAGGTTCCCAGATGATGCAGTGCTGTTGCTCTAGGGCAGCCGTGGACAAACTACGGCCCGCGGGCCGGATCCGGCCCGTTTGAAATGAATAAAACTAAAAAAAAAAAAGACCGTACCCTATTATGTAATGATGTTTACTTTTAATTTATATTAGTTCACACAAACACTCCATCCATGCTTTTGTTCTGGCCCTCCGGTCCAGTTTAAGAACCCATTGTGGCCCTCCAGTCAAAAAGTTTGCCCACCCCTGCGCTAGGGTCACACTTTGAGAACAACTGTTCTGGAGGAAACCCCTAAAAGTCAGGGGACACTGGGATTTTGTCAACAGAGCAACTAATCTGTTTTAGTGCAGAAAAAGATTAAGCCATTTTAATAGATATTTTATTGATAAAGTAATATATAAACATAAGCTCCCTATTCATATATGTCACTAGAATGAAGTTTGAAAAATAAAAAAGTGAAAATTTCTTTTCCCCATCTCCTTAACAGTAACTATTCCCACAGGTAACCAGTGTTTATCAATTTGACAAGAGGCCCAGTGCATGAAATTCGGGCACTGGGGTGGGGGGTGTCCCTCAGCCCAGCCTGCACCCTTTTCAATCTGGGACCCCTCAGGCATCAGGCCAGCAGGGGAGGGCAGTTAGGGGTGAGATCAGGCCGGCAGGGAAGGGCAGTTGGGGGTGAGATCAGGCTGGCAGGGGAGGGCAGTTGGGGGCAATCAAGCCAGCAGAGGAGCAGTTAAGTGTCAATCAGGCTGGCAGGGGAGCGGTTAGGGGGTGATCAGGCTGGCAGGCAGGCGAGCGGTTAGGAGCCAGCAGTCCTGGATTATGAGAGAGATGTGGGATTGGGCCTAAACTGGCAGTTGGACATCCCCCAAGGGTCCCAGATTGGATAGGGTGCAGGCTGGGCTGAGGGACACCCCCCACCCCAGTGCCCGAATTTCATGCACTGGGCCTCTTGTCAAATTGATAAACACTGGTTACCTGTGGGAATAGTTACTGTTAAGGAGATGGGGAAAAGAAATTTTCACTTTTTTATTTTTCAAACTTCATTCTAGTGACATATATGAATAGGGAGCTTATGTTTATATATTACTTTATCAATACAATATCTATTAAAATGGCTTAATCCTTTTCTGCACTAAAACAGATTAGTTGCTCTGTTGACAAAATCCCAATGTCCCCTGACTTTTAGGGGTTTCCTCCAGAACAGTTGTTCTCAAAGTGTGACACTGCCCTCCCCTGCTGGCCATCTTGTGACAACATGGGGACAGCCATCTTGTGATGACGTGGGGGTGTCCATCTTGTGTTGATGTGGGGGCGGCCATCTTGTGGCAGCCATCTTGTGATAATATGGGGTGGCCATCTTGTGATGACATGAGGGCGTGAGGGTCAATTTGCATATTACCTCTTATTATATAGGACTAAGGGCCCAGTGCATGAATTCATGCATCTTGAAAGGAACTGTGGGCCATGAGGCTGTGGTGCATACAGGGGCGGGTCTCGGCCCATCCTCCAAGCCCCCACCTGGCCCCTCCCACTGTGGCCCCCAGCCCCCTTTCTGCTGGTAGCCCTGCTCCTGCCACCCGGCGGCTCCCATGCGCTGATGGCACCGGCCCCGCTTGCACTCGCTGATGGCACGGAATGATTGGGGCCAGTGCTAGCAGCGGGTGTGAGTGGCGGCTGCTGCCCCAATCGCCCCTCAGGAACATGGGGTAGTGGAGAAGCCCTGAGAGGTGATCAGGGCCGGCAGCTGCAGCTCACACCCACTGATGGTGCTGAGTGATCAGGGCTGGTGCTGAGCGCCAGCAGTGGGTATGAGTGGCAGCTCCAGCACTGACTGCGGGTGTGAGCGGTGGCTCCAGCGCTGGCAGCAGGTGTGAGCATGGCTGCCACCAGCAGCAGGTGCAAGCACCAGGCGGGACTGTGGTGTGTGGGAGCAAAGAATTTTCAGTAGCCACTAGAGGCTTGCCCCAATGACAGCAACCAGCACCTTGCCTTGGTCTGGTGCCCCCACTCACCTGCCCCACCATCCTACCACAGCTGCTGCCTGCCATGTTCTGCACTCTGCTGCCTGCTGCCGATGCCTGCCATGTTCTGCATGTGCCCCCTGGTGGTCAGTGCACATCATAGCGTCCAGTTGTTCAGTTGTTCTGCCGTTAGGTCTATTTGCATATTAGGTTTTTATTTTTTGTCTGTCTTGTTTTTTTAAAAATATTTTTATTGATTAAGGTATTACAAATGTGTCTTTATCCCCCCATTGTCCCCTCATCCCCCCAGTCTTGCCCTCACCCTCACCCTCACCCCCTGGTGTCTGTGTCCATTGGTTAGGCTTATATGAATGCATACAAGCCCTTTGTTTGATCTCTCCCCCTTACCCCCACCCTCCCCTGCCTTCCCTCTGAGGTTTGATGGTCTGATTGATGCTTCTCTGTCTCTGGATCTGTTTTTGTTCATTGGTTTATGTTGTTCATTATAGTCCACAAATGAGTGAGATCATGTGATATTTATCTTCCTCTGATTGACTTATTTCACTTAGCATAATGCTCTCCAGCTCCATCCATTCTGCTGTAAATGGTAGGAATTCAGTCTACTTGCATATTAGGGTTTTATATAGATAGTAGATGCCTATATACACAACTATTGGTTTATCATAAATGGTATATTATACATATTATTCTGACTTACTTTTTTCACTTAACAAATCTTAGTGGTTTTTTTTTACCCATTCATTTAGATATTTTCATTCTTTTTAATGGCTGTATAGAATTCCAAAGTATGAGTGGACTGTAATTCACTTAAAATATTTCCTGTTAATAAATTAGACTATTTTCAATTATCCCAATTACAAACAATACTGCAATTAACATCTTTATACCTATTTCTTTATGAAAATATTACTGGAGAATAGATCCTTAGATGAAAAATTTTGGGGTGAAATAGCACATGCTTTTTAAAACATGGGAATTGCTGCTAAATTGCCTATCTGAAAGGATTTACAACTTATAGTCTCTCCACACTTTCTCCATCTTTAGTTATTTACATTTTTAACTTTAAAAATTGGTATTTCATGCTTTTCAAAATTTGTATTTTCCTGATTACTGATGAAATTGAATATCTTTTGTGTGTTTATTGGTTATTTGTGTCTTTTTCTATAAACTGCTACCATATCCTTTGCCCATTTTCTATTTTTTGCTTTTTATTATTGGTTATAGGAGTTATTTATATATTATGGCCAATCCCTTGTCATATAAGTGGAAAATGTTTTTATGGAGAATTTTTCTTTTCTTTTTCTTTAAATTTAATTTATCGGGGTGACATTGGTTAACAAAATTATATAGATTTCAGGTGTACAATTCTACACCACCTGTATATTGCATTGTGTGTTCAGCACTCCAAGTCAAGTTTCCTTCCATCACCATTTATCATCCCCCCTTTTCCCTCTTTTACCTCCCCCACCCCTTTTCCTTCTGGTAATCACCATATTGTTGTTTGTATCTATGAGTTTTTTCTTCTTCATTTCTTCACCTTTTCCTCCCAGCCTTCCTGCCTACTCTCCTCTGACTGCTGTCAGTCTGTTCTCTGTATCCATGGAGAATTTTTAAATTTGCTGTAGATTACTTCATACTTACCTTGTCCAAAGTTAGACATTTTTCTGGTGCTGGAACTGTAGACATGAAGAGCACTAATCTCACTGATATATGACAAGTTCAAATGTTATTCTTTTCCCTTGTCACTTTTCCAGTATTTAGAAACTCAGAGGTTCTGAACCTAGACCTAGAGTTGGAGGTAAAACAAAACTTAAGTACAAAAGCAGTAATTCTGAGGTAAGAAATTATGATGGAATATAGTTTTGAATTTATAAGTGAACAACAGAAATGGATGGGAAAATGTAACTTATAGGAAATAACTGTTGGGGAAAATTAAAACTGTTAGGACATTTGCATTAAGAATGAAATATCTAGTACATAGTGCCCATAATCCTGTTAATGCACTCCTATCTCAGCGCTCTTTTTCAAAATTGTTTTTAAGTGATAATAAAGTATGCTTCAAGTGCTAAATACCATAATTTGGAGATAAGCTCAAAATATAACACACTCACATAAAAGTAACTTTTAAAATATAGTGGGGGATAAGTGGTCACTTTTGCTATCAGCCACATATAACTCATAGAGTTCTTTACTGAAATGTCCACAATCCCCCTGGATAGAGTACCAGAAAACTGAGTTATCCTCATCTTTTCCTTAGACTGCTGAAGTTGCTGCCTCTGACTGGACATTTTTACACTGCTTGCCCAGAAAGCCAGAAGAAGTGGATGATGAAGTGTTTTATTCTCCACGATCACTAGTATTCCCAGAGGCTGAAAACAGAAAGTGGACAATCATGGTAAGCAAGAAATGAGGAATAGAGTGTAAGGAGTTCTTTCTATGGCCCTAACATGGTCATTCATGCTTTTTGGAAAATAATAAGCAACTGAGAGTATCAAACTACTTTACTTACTTATATGGCATCTATTTATTACAGAAAGTTCATAACAGATTATTATTGCTTATTGTCATTTATAGTATCTTTTAACTGAGTAAAACTAATCTCACTCCAAATATATCTATTTTAATTGAAATTCTCACTCCTCTTGATTAGTCTGATCACCAGCCAGCATTGCCTGCCAACCATTATAGTTTTTATAATTCTTATTTTATGATCCCCTTGTTAATGTGTATAGTGGCCTTTATTCAGTGCCTGCTACAAAATGGGCATTTGAAGTAATTTTATTTCCTTCCTCCTCTCCCTTCTTTTCATAACTTGCCTAGATCAGTGGTTGGCAAACTGTGGCTTGTGAGCCACATGCGGCTCTTTGGCCCCTTGAGTGTGGCTCTTCTACAAAATACCGCGTGTGGGCGTGCATGTACAGTCTGATTGAAACTTCGTGGTCCATGCGCAGAAATCGGTATTTTGTGGAAGAGCCACACTCAAGGGGCCAAAGAGCCGCATGTGGCTGTCAGCTACACTATTTATTTGCCAACACAGACATAGAACATTTCCATTATTGCAGAAAGTATTTTATAGTCTCTTTCTGTTTTCATGTTTGGAGTGCCAGATAAAATACAGGACATCCAGTTAAATTGAAATTTCAGATAAACAAGTAATTGTTTAGTATAGCTAATTTTCCATGCAAGATTTGAAAAATAGTGTTGTTTATCCCAAATGCTAATTTAACTGCCTGTCTGTATTTACTTTCTTAGCTAAATATGGAAACTCTATTCCAAGTTGACTTTCTAAGATTTTACTTTTAAAAATAAATTTGACATATGCAATGACAATTAAGAACAACAACAACAAAAACACCCTGAGATATGATCCCAAGAACCTATAAAAATGCTTAAAATATTTTACCTGGAAGATGTTTTTAATCCCAGAATTTAGCCTTTCTATTTCTTCTTGTCATTCAGATCTCAATTTAAATGTCATTCCTTTAACAAGGTCTTCCTTAGCCACTCACTCTTAAGTGGTTCCCCAGGTCCATTTATACCATTTTTATTTTATTTTCTAATGGCTTTTATCACTACCTGATCTTTTATTTGTTTGTTGTCTGTCTCCCCACTATAATGAAACTCCATTAAAGCATTGATCTTGGCTGTAATGTTCTTTGTTATATGTAGAATGGTGCCTGACAAACACCCTAAATATGTGCACAATATACTTTTGTAACCTGAAGGCAATATAGGGTACTTGTTCTAGAACATAGGCTTTGGAAATCAAGTTAAAATCTTGCCTCTCTGTAATCTTGATCAAGTACCATAACTTCTGTAAACCCAGTTCATTCATAAAAAATGGGGTTAAAATAGAAACAACATCATAAGATTGTGAAGATTAAATGAGGTAAGAGTAATCTGAGCATTGTGGTCAAGGTCTAGGGACAGACAGGTGCAGATGATACATCCCTTACAATCACCACTCATGAAAATACATAGGCCTCAGTTTCCTCATCTATATTTTATATCTCAGCACTTCACACAGTAGGAAAGGATATTAAATGGTAGGATACACATAAAGTACTCAGCACAGGGCCCAGCACATGGTAACTGCTCAACAAATATACTCATTGAACCCCTTTTAAATATGACCTGCATTTCTGATATAGGCTAGGAACACATATGGAATATGGTGGGAAAGAGGAGCAAGTACCTGTAAGGTAGTAAAACTACTTCTTAAGACTGGAGTCAGAGAAATCTGGGTCTAAACCCAGTTCTGTATTATCTATTATTACCAGGGTAGATTTGAATAAATGATAATAACAGAAGCTACCTTAGAAGGTTGTTTCATTAAGTGAAATAATGCACAACCATTTATCTCTGGCTTACTACAGCACCTAGCACAGAGCTTGGCAAATATTTCTTAACTCACTAAAACATGATAAGGCATTTAGTCTGGCACATAGTAAACATTCAATAAACATTTTTGTTTATTGAACATTCATCATAGTTTAATATTATTACTATTGCCATAATATTGGAAGTTGGGAAGGGTAAAAGTAAAAATTACCATTTGTGGCTGATAGTCTATTGGGAAGCTGTACTCTTGGATATACTTTTTTTTTTTCATGAGGACTCAGATTCAGATAGACATTATTTGTTAGCCCAGATGATTTACTTTTATTACTTTACATCTGATGTATATTACAAGTGCCAAAATCACAGAATAAACATGAGGATGGGAGGAATTATATTTCTCAAAAACCAGCCAATACCTAGGTTTCACTTATGACTGGAAAAATCTAATCATAGCTACCACCATGATATCTCATTTCAACTAGTCCTGGAATGAGGCCCAAGTAAGCATGGTGTTTGTGCACATATTTGGGTCAGTCTGATCTCTTGTGACCTTTCTTTATCTAAATAAAACTAAATATTAGATCAGAACTGTCTCCTTATCATTTCTTTGGGAAAACTTATTTTAACCACAGGCATTCAAAGCAGCAATCCAATTCCTCTTCCGTAGGTCCCTAAGCAGACTCTTGCTAATACCCATTTCTTTCTTTCTCTTTGTTGTGTCATCTTAGGCTGTCATGGTGTCCCTGCTGACAGATTATTCACCTCAGCTCCAGAAGCCAAAGTTTTAATGCTGTGATACTTGTCAAGAGAGAACCGATGTTCTTCAGTAACAGAATGAGTCTTTTATGGGGGAAGGAGAAGAGAATCCAAGAGAAATAAACAAATCGTGATACATGGAATAGGTGAACAATATGATATTGTTTTGCCATTGTGAAACTTTTGTAAAGCCCTTAAATTAAGTATTGATGCACTGTAATACATTGCTTGACTTAATCAATGCTCTAATTCAAAATTTCTGAGTTACATTTAGGTATCATGTTAATAACCACATACATTTGCCTCAACTAAACATAAAATACTGTGTTTATAATGCATAATGTCTAAGCCATTAAATGTAATCTATGCTTATTACCTTAATAAATTATCACCCATGCTAATTTATAAGTAAACATTTACCAGGCAGTCAGCTGCTGGTAGATCTGTGGGCTATGCTCATATCCCTCAGCACTAACAAAGAAGCCAAATGATTCATCTTACCGACATATTGCAATCTGCAGGCAAATGAGGTAGACAGGCATTCGTTTATGAAGGCAGATGAGGAAATTCTTAGAAAACAGCTATAACTATGCCCAAACTCTGGAGTTTTTTCCAGTGATTTGTGGGAAGGAGGGTCCTTCTAGAGCACACATCTCTTTTCTGCAACGAATACTTAACGTTACAATGCTAAGGAAACATTTGTGAACAGTGGTAAAACCATGGATACCTAGCTGGGAATGTAAGATCCATTAGAGTGAGTGACATTTTCATAGGTTCAAATTCTTTAGCAGGAGCAATTTAATTTTTTTTTCATGTTTGTGCTTATCATTCATCTACTCCCACCACACACTGGGTATTTCCATAAATCCACTATTTGTCATATTTTAGCCCAGTTTTCTCCAGTTTTTCTTCAGAATAATAAAATTTGCATTACTGGATTATTATAATATAATTAAAGCTAGATGTCTCTTGTGGGTGACTAAATTTTGAAATGTTGAATTATTATGATATAATTTGAAATTTTTTACTTAAAAATTTAAGGAACATAAATGAAACTCAAAAATAATGTATTTTACAGAGGATAAAAAAGTAACTACCTTTATATTCTACCTCCCCCATTAGAAGAATGCTTTCAGGCTGGTTGACTGATATTTTCAGCAGATATCTATGACTTAAATGAGTGACTTAGAGATGAATTACAAATTAAATTTGCAATGCAGATTAAATAAAACATATTTTGTAGGGGGAAAGGCTCATAATGTTACAGAAGAAAAATAATTTTTTTCTAGTAAATATCAAATGTGATGTTCGTGTCTATGATAGTTTATAAGAAAAAAAAGAGTAGAGTTTAGTGGACTATCTTTTTTCAGCAGAGGGTATAGGAATGATTTAACAAGAGGGTGTCATGTGGATTGTTGAGACTCTCCCTCAAATTGCCTAAATGTAAAGAACATAATCCTGAGTATTCTTCCACTTTCTAAGTGGTCCCCCATGGTAACAAGCTCTCATCTCTTTGCTAGTTATCATTTGAATCAAATGAAAGGTATAATCTCAGTCCCTCAATAATAAGGAACTTATAAACATTTTCTTGCCAATATGCAGTCACTTTACCTTCAAAAAGCCCAAAGCTTCCATTTTTTAATGTACACACAATTTAATATCTTGCTCAAACCAAATCTGTAGAAATTTACTTGCTTTCTTAATTTTTTATCTTAAGAAGATTTTAGTTATATTATCAGGAATAAAGAAACCAGGAAAGGAAAAGTTAGCCTTATTTTTCCCCCAAACTATTTTTATTTCCTATTTATCTTTACCCTTGCCTCCCTCATTCCCTTTTCTATGTAACTACTGCAACAAAAAAGATGAAGAAAAACTCCAGGAATAACCTTTGGGTATCTGGTATACACAATAGATCCTACCCATTTTATTAATATAACTAGTCAAAGAGAGCCTTTCTTCTAGGCTTTCTCTACTGTAACATTGGAAGTTAAAACATCAAGATATTACACTGCAATAATTTCAATGTCACGGAAGATCATCAGTTGTTTGGGTTTTTTTTCCCCAGTGATAAGTTTCTAATCAGATATTCCTAATGGATTTATGCTAATGACTTGACTATTGTAAGATCCTTAGGCAGAAATATGTGCACAGACTAACATGGCAATACTACATTAGACCTCATATGCAAGCAACACTAAAACCTCAGTTAAAATGGCAGGACCCCTGCAACTAATACAAAAGTTCCAATGCAAAACTTCTCATGTGATAAAAATGATGAATGCATACAGAGAGGGTATCCATAACACATTCTTTTGGGAGCCTTTTTGTCTTGAAATCTCTCATCAATGTCTAGAATCTGGACTCTAGATTTTGGAGATGGCTGAGCATGTCTTGAGACATGGCACCACTCAGCAATTTTGTAAGACTGATATCTTTTGACAAATATGAAAGGCCATATCAAAGATTTAGAAAACAGTTGTCACAGTGATCAGATTCCTACAACCAGGAACACTAGATACTGACATACAAGTTGTGCTCTGTGCAAAGGTCTCAAGTGAAAAGTGTAAGGGTTGAAACATGGTCTGTACTTCAGTTACCAAGTCTTGTGCTTCCTTACAGGCCTTACAGCCAGAGGAAGGAGTGATTTTTTTGTAAGTTGTGCACCCAGAGGGAACAATTTTCAGTATTTCATAAGCTTGAATAGATGCGTTGTTTTAAGTCACACAAAGGGCCAGTATCTGGCCCTACCATCAACTTTTTATTTAAATCGTCACCTGAGAATATTTTTCCTTTTTTTTTTTTTTTTTTTTTTTTTTTTTTTTTTTTTTTTTTAGAGAGAGAGAGAGAGAGAGAGAGGAAGAGACAGAGAAAAAGAGAGAGAAACATCGATGTGAGAGAAACACATAGACTGGTTGCCTCCTGCATGCGCCCTGACCAGGGCCTGGGCCAGGGAGGAGCCTGCAACCAAGGTACATGCCCTTGTCCAGAATCGAACCCGGGACCCTTTGGTCCACAGGCCGACACTCTATCCACTGACCCAAACCGGCCAGGGCCCTACCATCAACTATTTACATCAAGACATTTTTTTTTCAATATCACCTTGTATTTGATTAAAATGAGACACCCAGAACCACAGCCCACAAAGTTGGACTCTCACCCTCATCCCATCACTGGAAGTCCACATCCTTGATTAGCTTTTCCTGTAGCTAACTTGCTTCCCTTATCCTAGAGTGCTAAATTAAATCATTAAATTATTTTGCAGAAGATCCCCATCTCAAGCTCTGTTTATAGAGAATTTGATCTAATATGGACCATACAAAATATTTTTTAGAGGTATGTACTACAGTATACTGCTTTTCTTTTAGACATCTAGAGCAGGGTAGGGAGATAAAATGCCAAATGGTGATAAATGATAAAAAGCTTGTAAGCAACAACTTTTCTGGTTACCAGGACTCTGCCAAACTGCATCATGGAGGCCAGCAAGTCTGAAAATCTAATCAAGGTGACTAAATTATTTGTTTAGCAAAGCATGGTAAGAATGTACACTTATATGAAATAAATCAAAGATATGGGCAATTGCTGGACTTGGGGTCTCGCAGATGAAAGGGGAAAGGGATTAGAAAAAACTCTTATCAGGATTTATCCATCTTTGTTTGAGTCTAGAAGTGCTCAAAGGAAGAAGTTTTCAAACTGTTCTTAAATCAGCAGTTCTCAAACATTTTGGTCTCAGATCTTGTAGCCCATAAATTATGAAGATCTCAAAGAGTTTTTGTTTCTGTGGAATATATCTATCAGTTTTTACCACATTAGAAATGAAAACTGAGAAATATTTTCCAATTGATTAACTCTAAAATAACAATAGTGAACCTACTACAGGTCAACATAAATAATATAATTTTTATGAAAAATAACTATATTTTCCAAAACAAATAAAGTTAATGAATAGAGTGGCTGGCATTATTTTATATTTTTGCACATCTTTGATGCCTGCCTTAATAGAAGACAGATCAATTCTCATATCTACTTCTGCATTCCATCTGGAGCACTATACTAGTTTGAAGTATAGGAAGAATATCCAGCCTCACACAGATAAGTGTTTGAAAAGGGAGATATATTTTAATAGCCTTTTCAAATAATCATGAATAGTCTTTGATGTTACACTGAAACTCCACAAGTGATAGCTCCTTAAAGATTATTTGCAATGTGAAATCTGAAACCTCATCTCTGAACTTTTCTACAAAGTTAAACTTAATGTCTATATTTCATTTTGAATAGATCTTTTACCCATATGTGATTCCAATATTGGCCATTTGGAAAATATTAGTCCAATGAATTATGCAAATATTACAAATGATTTACATGATATAAAAAAAAATCACAGTTGGTACTATCTCTACTGCTATGATCTAAATGTTTGTGCCCCCCCCCCTTCATAAAATCCTAATCCCCAAAGATTGTGATATTAGGATGTAGGGCCTTTGGTCATGAAGGTAGAGCCCTCATAAATGGGATTAGTGCCTTGTGAAAGAGACCCCCACAGAGTTCCCTAGCCATTTCCATAATGTGAGGATACAGTGAGAAGGTACTAGCAATGAACCAGGAAGAGGGTCCTCACTAGAACATGACCATATTACCACCTTTATCTTGGACTTCCCAACTTCCAAGACTGTGAGAATAAATGTCTGCTGTTTACAAACTACCCAGAATTTTGTTATAGCAGCTCAAATGGCTAATATAACCACCTGTCCCATTAGAAAAACCTTTATGTATTGAGAAGCAGATATACATTCTACACAATTCTAATTTTCTTTTGAAAGTTGTCAGTTACTTTCCTTGAAGTGATAGGTTCACCTCATTCAATTTCAAGAATATGTCTGCCAAATACCCAAGTCCTAATGACCAGAGTATGTGAGTTTTTTTCCAATTAAAACTAGTATACCATAAAAAAGGTGCCTAATTCAACAAGTTAAAGAATTGCACAATACTTTTCAATAATCACATTCCCTTATGCAACTGAAAGGCTTAATACTTTCTTTTCATGTTATCACACAAAATGTTAATGAGATATGTACACAGGAGTTGAAATTTAATATTAATACTTTTTTATTGCTTCATCAAGGATATACATAAGTGAATCTGGCTTTTAAAAACTGCCTGTATGTGATAGTGAAGAATAAAATGACTTGGTTCTACTGCCTTAATTCATGCTAAGGTGTCAGCAGTTTTACCCACCAGCGCCTTTGTACCAACCTTTTTGAACTAGCTGAACCAGGAACCACCCATTATGAAGCAAGGTCCTATAATACTTCCAGGGATCCAAGAGAGACCAAGAGGGAAGAACTCTGCAACACCCATTCCTGATTAAACCAGAATAGTCCAATCTAATCTGATTTCATCCGTAATATTTAGCAGCATTCCTTCAAAAGATTCTGGTGGAAAATAAAAAAGTTCACAACTCACTTCTATAAAGCAAGTCTTGGCTGTACTAATTATGGTTAAAATCCATACTGAAATCTTGTTTTATTCATTCTATGCATACCAAGCCATCTATTATTTTGAGTCTCAGTTTTGTGCCAGACATGGAAGACATGACCCCTGCCCTCATGGTGCTTATAGTATAACTAGAGGCCTGATGCACAAAATTCATGCAAGGGCCTTGGCCCTCACCTGCCACTGCCGCGGCAGCTGGGGGCCTCTGTTGCTGCTGCTGTGGCCTCTGCCCGCTGCTGCTGTGGCCAGGGGCCTCTGCTCCTCTGCCTTGGCCCCTACCCTCTGTTGCTTTGCCCAGAAGGAAGGACATCTGGAAGGACATTCGGTCTAATTAGCATATTATGCTTTTTTTATTATAGATAGGGGGGACAGACAACCACATGTAATAAAAGCTGTGAGGGAAATAGGACATTCTAATAAAAATAAAGAGACAAAAGAAAAGGTACACATTTGAACCAATTGTTCTCAAACTTCAGTGAATATCAAAATCACCTGGAGAGCTAACAAATAATACAGAGGCCCTGGCTTTTTGAAGTGGGGAGGATCTTGGGCCTCTGTAGTTTTACCACATGATTTTCCAAAATTTGAGTAGTGCTGTTTTAAATACAGTACTCAGAGAAAGTCTTTCAGAGGTGACCTTAAAACTGAGTCCTGACTGATGAGAATTTTGGGTGTACCCAAGCTTTTCATTGTATTTGGATCTCAGGTTTGTCTTAGATGATGCCAACTCTTTTACAGCTATAGGTTGAACTGAAGGGCTATTAAGTACTGCTTAAGTGAGCACATTTCGTTTCTTATTATAAAAATAATTTACCATTTAAGTGAGCAACTACAAGTTTCTATAATAAATGTTTTATGAGAAGAAGTTACACAAGACATTTTGTATTTACAAGCCTTGTCATAAAAGTCACTGAAGATCTTATCCCATTAACAAGGGACAGAGCACATAACATTATCTTTAAAAACTTATGCCCCTACTAGCTATTTTTTGAATAGTGCCTTTTTATGTTGTCACTAAAATGTAAATATTCTCTAACTTCTCTTTGTTATCTTTCTGAGACTTGTACAACCATCATGACACTTTGAATTAATTCTCAGAGTAGTTATGCTAATAATATTATCTCCCCTCAAGGCTTTCCATTAAATATATTTGTAAAAATTATATTCTTTAACTAAGGTCAGTAAAAGAAATGAAGGTATTTAATTTCTGATCTCCATGTAATTAGAATGAAAAAAAAAAAAGAATCTTTCAGTTAGAGGACCAGTGTACAGGTTGGCCTTGAGGTGAAAAGGGGCTTGGCTTCTTCAAGGAACTAGAAGATGAGTATAGCCAGGATATAGTGAGCAAGAAAGAGAGGAGTACAAAATAAGTGGCATTTGAAGGACTAATAATTTAATTATCAAAGAACTTGGACACAGAGATCTTCACATCTATGAGGTTCTGGTATTACTGAACGTTTACTGATGAAAAAGGAAGGTCAGGGAAACCATAAATAATTGTAACTAAGTAGTTTGCCTTCTTTACTCTCAGACCCATGAGCAGGAAATATGTTTGTTTTACCTTACAATCCATAGTTGACCTATGGTATTAAAAGTGTCAGTGGTGGAAAAGCTACAGTATGGAGCTTATGGCAAGCTCCAGTGGAAGTTAAAAAATGTAGGCCCTGGGAAAAACAAAGATGGCAGCATAGGTAAAAACCGGAAATTGCTGCCTCCCACAACAACTTCAAAAATACAATGAAAAGACAAAGCGGACATCATCCAGAACTACAGGAAGGCTAGCTGAGTGGAAATTCTACAACTAGAAGGAAAGAGAAAAGCACACGTAGACTCAGAGGAGCTGCAGAAATAAAGTGCAGAGGTACGGAGGCTCCAGTGCGCGCGCGGAAAGGGGCTGGTACCTGAGGACGTGGCTGTCTGTTTGAATCGGGAGGGAGTCACAAGCTCCCAACTGCTCTGAACTCCGGTTCTGGGAAGTCTCTGGGGACCCAGGACTCATACGGGGAGAAACTGGACTGTCTGGCAGCAGGCAGAACTCGGAACCTGAGGGCGGCTTTCCCTCAGAGGTGCTTGCAGCAATTACCGGGACGCTAAGACTCGCGGCCCCTTAGGGCAGGGCTGATGATCCACCATAGCTGCTGGCTCCGCCCTTTGATTCCCTGAGACCCTGCCCCACCCAGGCTGCAGCAGAGGCTTTTGCATATGAATGCCCTGGCCCTTTGCAACCTGAAAATTACCTAACAAATTGCAGCTGGGCAAGAGAGACCCAGAACTCCCAAGAGAAGGCACAA